GGGGGGGGGGGGGGGGTTCTTCTATGTTTTAAGGTTTATTTCCGTTGTATTTTTGTTCTGTAGGTCGTCCTATGGTGATTTCCAGTGGAATGCAGAGTATGGAAACCATGCGCTGCGTTTATCAAACTGTCAAGAAACACAACGCTAATTTCACGTTTCTGCAGTGCACCAGCGCTTATCCGCTGCCGCTAGAGCACGTCAACCTCAGTCTGATCACCGTGAGAAACAAATTCATCAACTATGGAACTGTTGTGGATGAAAGTTTTTTTTCAGCAATGTTAAAAGTAAAAAAATAAAAATAAAATAAAAAAGCATAATGACAGCAAATTAAATGTCTTTTTAGCATGTAGTTGATTGAAATACAGTGCTCTGTATAATTGAGTACACCACAGTTTTGAAATTGAATATTTTTTTTATCAATTTCTCAGTGAATATAGGCAATGTATTTTGCTGCATTTAAACAAATTTATTAAACAGATATATTTATTAAAATAATATTTTAGTCACCAAACATATTTAGAAATTGAAAGAAAATACAATTAAATTCAAGCAAAATATTGCAAAAAAAAAAATTAAACTTACAAACCTTGCAACCTATTTTCAACTAAATTTTACATTTTTCTCTTTATTTTTAAACTTTGTATTTAATATTTTTCTGTAACGTAAATTTGGATGTATTAGTTTTTGAACCATTATAGTAAGCTGTTTTGATATATAAGCTCCAGATTTGGCTTCAGTACTGACTAATCTAATGAATATGCACAAATAAAATATTGTATAGCTTCCCATTAAAATATGAATTTAAAAGTTAGATTTGTGAGAGGTGTACTGATATATGCTGAGCACTGTTTTTGAAAATTTTGAATGCATTTAAAAAAATTTAACTAATGTTTTAAATAAATAATTAAATATGAATATACTTTTTTGATTGGATAGAATTTAAATAAGATGTAATCATTTTAAAATATATGTTTGGTAAATATATATATTTTTTCTAATAAATCTTTAATAAGCTGTAAATAAATTAAAAATAATAATTAGTTACTGGTATTATTTTAAGACTCAAATAGTTGGATTAAAGTTAAGTTGTCAACATTATCAGGTTTAAATAACTTAAGACTAAAGAAAACTTTTCACACAAGTTGGATATTAATTAATAATAATAATAATAATAATAATAATAATAATAATAACAATAATAATAATATAATATTATTATTATTATTATTATTA